CAGAACCTGTGGTGCCAAACATCACAGTTTATTGCATTTTAATAATTCAGCTTCCGTAAATTTGAAGCCTGAGCAATCGTCCGCTTCTGACTTACAGTCGCGGCCGTCTTCATCGTTACTGCCACGTAGCGCTCTCGCAGCTGTTTCGCCATCATCGCTTGCTTCATTGCCTGCCCAAAATCTCAGCTCAGATGTTGTGCTCTTGGCCACCGCTGTCATCAGCATTCAAAATCGCGCTGGGACTTGGGTACCCTGCCGTGCACTGCTCGATTCCGGATCACAGTTGCACATTATAACTTCGCGATTCGCTCACCGGCTCCAACTTCGAAAGACCAAGTCGTCGGCCTCTGTGTCTGGTCTTGGTGACGTCAGTTTCAAGTCTGATGGTTGCACTGTGCACTTATGCTTGCAATCATTGGTCACTGACTATTCCGCAAATATTACTGCTTTGGTCGCTCCTTCCATTACTGAAAACCAACCCAATTTCATGGTTGACATATCTCATTGGAATATACAAAGCAATGTCCGCTTAGCTGATCCTTCAAGCCACAGCAAATCGATATGCTTATCGGTGCCAATTTTTTCTACGAGTTGTTGTGCGTAGGTCAGATTAAACTGGCTGATGGCCTGCCACTTCTGCAAAAGACTCGTTTTGGCTGGATAGTTACTGGAGGTGGCTCGCAGCGTCAGAAATCTGCTTTGGTTGCATCCAAGTCTCCGTCTACACAGGATTGCAATACACGAATCGAGCAGATGGTTCGTTCTTTTTGGGAACTCGAAAGTGGTGTCGATCCGGCTGTAAAACTTACAAAAGAAGAGTTCGACTGCGAGGAGCATTTCAAGGCTAATTACAGGCGCCTGCGTACTGGCGAGTATTCCGTCCGACTGCTTGTAAAGCTCAGCACAGATCTGCTTGGCGATTCCTATACGCAAGCCTATCGTCGGTTAATAAACTTGGAGCGAAAGTTAGAACGCAATCCACTTCTCAAAACACAGTACTCTGCATTTATATGTCGCTTGTATCGCCAGTTTCGCTAAACTTGTGCAAGTATTTCCTTCCGCACCACTGCGTTCTGAAGGAGGACAGCACAACGACAAAGTTGAGAGTCGTGTTTAACGGTTCCGCATCCACATCCTCTGGTCATTCTTTAAATGACATCCTAATGGCTGGTCCTTCCATTCAGTCAAAGCTCGCAAACACGCTTGTTCGATTTCGCACGTTTCCTATCGCTTTAACAGGAGAAATCTGCAAGATGTACCGCTGCGTGCGAGTATCAAATCCGGATAGCTATTTCCAACGCATCCTATGACGTGATTCGCCTCAAAAGGATATTCAAGTCTTCCGTCTTGATACCGTCACTTACGGTACAAAGCCTGCGTCGTTTCTCTCCGTTCGCACTATGCATCAGCTGGCTGAAGATGATCATGAGCTATTGCCTATTGGCTCAGTTATCTTGCATCGCGATTTTTATGTTGATGATTTAATCACTGGTGGTACTTCTACAAACGAAGTCATAGAAATTATGAGACAAGCCACAGGGCTACTTGCCAAGGCTAATTTCAAGCTAAGGAAGTGGTGCTCCAGCAATCCTGATGTGCTCAAACAAGTTCCGGAAGAGGACAAAGAACACTAGTTAAGTTTGATGATGGCAGCGACATCACAAAAACTCTAGGACTGTCGTGGGATCCTGCAACTGATTTCTTCATTTTCACGTTTCTGCCAATATTGACATCTGGTCGAATTTGCAAGCGCACTGTTTTGTCGACTATTGCCAGATTTTATGATCCGCTTGGCCTTATTGGACCAGTAATAACAAAGGCTAAAATATTCCTGCAGGCGCTTTGGAGAGAAAAGCTTGATTGGGATGAAAGCCTTTCAGCATCATTGACAACATCTTGGCATAATCTTATTGCAGATTTTGAGCGCATAAAGCAGCTGAAATTTCCAAGGCTTGCACTTTCTGCTGGTGTTTCCATTGAAGTGCATGGTTTTAGTGATGTCAGCAAAGATGCCTATGGAGCTTGCGTCTACATCATTTCGACCACGCAAGGCCAATCACGAGCGGAGCTGCTGTGTGCCAGATCTCGTGTGGCGCCACTCAAATCGTTGACCGTGCCCCGACTAAAGTTGTGCGGAGCCGTTTTGCTGGCACAACTCATAAACGAAATATCTCGCATGGAGTTATTCGACTGCAAGTTTTATTGGTGGTCTGATTCTGCAGTAGCGCTATCTTGGATTCGCAGCGAGCCATCCAGGTTTCAAATTTTCGTTTCCAATCGCATCGCAACTATTCAAGAGTTGACCTCTGGCATGGAATGGCAATATATTCCAACCGATTTGAATCCTGCGGACATACTTTCACGTGGAGCATTGCCCAGCGAATTAGTCCAGTCCAACTTGTGGCTACATGGTCCCGCATTTCTGACGAAAGGTAAATCTTCTTGGCCAGAATCTTGCAATTCCGTCTCGTCGCTTCCTGAGCAGCGCTCTAAAGTGCTTGTAAGCACCACACTGTGCGAAGACATTGCACAGCAATGCAAATATGTTAACACATTTGGAAAGCTGCAGCGCGTGTTTGCATACGTATACAAGTTCCTGCACCGTGTACGAATTCCTGGGCTATCGGTGGACTGCATCCGTCATGGAACACTGCTGTTGATGCGCTCAATTCAAATGTCTACGCTTCGGGACGAATACAAGGCCTTGCAGGCCGGACACACTTTGAAATCGTCTAGCTCATGTCTTTCCTTATCTCCGTTTCTCGACAGCTCTGGAATGACGTGCGTTGGTGGCCGTCTAAGTAACTCTGCGCTCGACTTTGGAGCCCAGCATCCAATTATACTTCCAAGGCGTCATCCAGTCACGCGTTCAGTCATTATGCACTACCATGTCCGTAACCTGCATTCTGGACCTCGTGCATTGCTGGCATCAATTCGGTTGCAGTATTGGCCAATTGGCGGTCGGAAAACAGTGTGCAGCGTAGTCAGCAAATGCACTATTTGTTTTCGAGCCAAGCCCCGTCTGGTGGAGCATATTATGGCTGACCTGCCAAAGGATCGAGTTGATGCTTCACATGCCTTTATGGTCACTGGTGTGGATTTTTGTGGGCCGTTTTTCTACAAAAGCGAGGTCCGCAATAAGGCACCAATAAAATGCTATATTTGCATTTTCATTTGCTTCGCCACCAAAGCTGTGCGTTTGGAGTTGGTGAAGGATTTAACCACCGGAGCATTCTTAAATGCACTTAAACGTTTTATTTTGACGCGCTGTCGACCTACGAGGATCTGGTCTGACAACGCTACAAATTTCGTTGGCGCACGGAACGAGATGGCTGAGCTAAAGCGTCTTTTCGAATTCAGCGAGCACCTGCAGGCTGTGCAAGAATTTTGCCTTGCTGACTGCATTGATTGGCGTTTCATTCCGCCGCGCTCGCCTCACTTTGGTGGTCTATGGGAAGCGGCGGTGAAGACTGCCAAGCATCATTTCTACAGATCCGTTGGACTATCGCTGCTCGAATTTGATGAGCTGCGCACACTTATATGCCATATCGGGGTAATTATTAATTCTCGCCCATTGTTATCGCTTTCAGAACATCCAGCAGATCTCGATGTCTTGACTTCAGCTCACTTTCTTGGTGCTGCTCCGCTGTCAACGTACGTTGAGCCTGATCTGACGAAGCTCAACTTCAATCGGCTGGATCGATGGGAGCGCGTGACGTACTACCAGCAGATATTTTGGGCTCGCTGGCGTGAAGAATAGTTGGCGCTTCTTCAACAGCGCTCAAAATGGCGAGTGTCGCAGCCTGGACTCTCCGTTGATGATGTCGTTCTGGTCAAGGACGAGAATTTGCCGCCCCTCAAATGGCCATTAGCAAGGGTGGTCAGCCTCATCAGCGGCGCAGATGGCGTGTCGAGAGTTACAGAATTGAGGACTGCCACTGGAACCATTCGACGAGCCGTTCGCAAATTATGCCCGCTGCCGAAACAAGATGTTTTTGAAGACCCTTGTTCTTCAACAGGGGGAGTATATTTGGTCACCAGGCCAAAAACAGCCAAAACCGGCAGCACATCATAGTTAATAAGTAACGTAAATAACTCAATACAAAGTGCTCGTTTTCTTGTCACTTGCTTTGTATAGCAAGCTGAGCACTTAACGTTTCCTTATGTTGCTTGCTATAAATTTGCATAGACTGCTGTGCAGCCGCCACATATGTACTAGTTATTGTCGCTAACTCTGCAAGTGAAGTTTCGTTTTCGTTATCGCATTTGGTACGGAGAAGCTTAGCTTTCCGTGTACCAGCATAAACTTTGTAAATCGCGCACAACACACAAAATCTTAGTCGGTGATCGCTACCTATGCAAAATAAACATTTGTGAACCTCTTTTAAATTGAACACTTTCGTTTTCGCTTATTTTGCAACTATTTCGCCAACATAATTTCGCATTTTTGGAATCATATAGCTTTCCGTGTACCAGCATAAGCTTTGTAAATCGCGCAAAACACACAAAATCTTAGTCGGTGATCGCTACCTATGCAAAATAAACATTTGTGAACCTCTTTTAAATTGAACACTTTCGTTTTCGCTTATTTTGCAACTATTTCGCCAACATAATTTCGCATTTTTGGAATCATACAAAAGCTTATGATTATACACTAATATTATGACTAAAACTTGCTGTTAAAATGAGTACTAATATATGTCACAATAATTATAATCTTGTCAAGTTTTATGTACCAACTTAGTATAAGTTTTCTCTGTTATTAATGTTACCAAATTGTTACAAACATATGTTCACGTCTACTCATGTTATGTATAAGCGGCATATATGTGGAATATAGCACACAAGTTCTGCTGGCCACTTTAAATAAAGAACTGAATTGCAAAACAAAAAGCTATCCAACAATTTAGTTGCGATTGCGATTTATTACTATTCCTCATATTCACTCGTTTAAGTAAGCAAGTCAAACGGTTTTTGAAATTACCTCATAATTTACTTACTTGTTTGGCTACTACTTTCATATGAAAAAGGTGCCATTTTTTTGTGATTTCCAATGAATGATTTAATGTTATAACGGCAAAGTGTCTATATGCGCCTTTGCATGGACTCCAGCTAAAAGAAATAAAAATTTACATGGATATAGCATCAGAAGAATAGAAATCCTCGCATGGGCTCTAGCTTCATATATTTTTATATGATACTCCATGTTAGAAGGAGGAAATGTACATACATATGGATACAAACCTGGCACTCCAATGATGATACCCAACAGTAGAGAAAATACTTTTTTTGGGGTTTGAGCTGCCAGCAAATATACTTTCATTATGAATTGCTGAAAAATGAGCTAAATCCGCTCCATTTTCGGGAATTTCCTGGATATGACAGCTAATGTAAAACTCATTGCGCCCGTGATACACGTATTGATCACTTTGAATTTCCATTGAAATTGGGAGATCCCAAGTATTTTCAGTAGGTTCAGCATGGTACCAAACAAATATATATTCATTCACTTCTTTAGATATCCATTTCTTCACTTTAGAAGTTTGAGGAACTATAATATCAGTATCTGAATTAAGTATGATCTATTTTAATAAGATTTTGATTTTTACCACACGAGCTGTACGGTACATTTATGCACGCTCCATCTGTACCTCGGAAGCTCCATTGGTGGAACGGGCATACTATGTTATCACCTACTACACGACCTCCTATGCCCAGATTAGCTCCCAAATGTGGACAGTAGGCATCTAAAATAAATACTTGCTGTTCTTCTGATCGATAAACAACAAAACATTCCCCCAAACATGATACAAATTTTGCCTCGCCAGCGTGAAGCTTTGAAGATTCGAGAATTCCATACCAACCATTAGGAAAAGGTGGAGGTAACTCCTTGGATTTAATTTTTCTTGCTCTTCTTAAACGACATATTGCGTGGCGTTTATTTTCTTTATTAGAATAATTATTTTTTTTAGTATCTTGCCCAAAGTTGACCTCATCCAAATGCTGAAATACCAATAAAGTTAATTTAATAAAGATTTGTTAATCATCATATATATTTGTTAAAAAATCAGGGTATATTAGATTTTAGGTTTAAAGAAAAATTGTGATATTTGAAATTGTCCAATACATAGACTATCTTGGAGATTAAGGCTAATTTGTAGTTGCATAAAGCCCAACCATTATCGGTTGTGTTTACTTGTTTTTTTTTTTTTAACGCGTTGATAAAGACATGTAGGCATGTCTTATCATAAATATAAAATACTTCTATATGTTTCGCATAAATGAAATGAAAATGAAAATGAATATCTCAGCAAGTACAAGAGCTAGAATAACCAAACTTAGTATTCAGATTCTCCTGAGCACTACACAGATCAAGATTGTATATTCGCAATTCGTGTATTTTCCAAAATTTAGAAATTTAAAAATTTCCCGTAATTTTTTACTCAGATTTGGCAACTACCCCCAGTTAGTGATTATGAGTCCGTACGCCAACTTTCATAACGAAACGTTAATTATGAAGAAAGTTATACCCATAAATATACTCTCTGCTGAAGCTCCGCAACTAACTGTTGTTGTTGCTGCTTTGGTTCAACTTTGTGCTGCATACATACTTGTACATCTATTTACTATACATGTACATATATGTATATACATATATATATGTATAAACAAGTAAAAAAGCTAAAGTTGGGTGTCCCGACTTTGAAATACTCTGTACATATGCTTAGAATAATTATAGAAAATAAAAAAATTAAGAGAATTAATTTTAAGGGAACAAATATTGATCGATTTTACGTCTCTCGGTATTCGAACTCACGTAATTGCACATTTACATAGCATACATAGCAAATTAAAAAAAAAAAAAAACTTGCACAGCATACACATATAACACACCTTTGTGCAAAGCTTGGTGTCTCTGAGATCCAGGTATTCATACGGACAGGTGGACAGACAGACAGACTGAACTAGATCGACTCGTCTCATCATGCCTATCAAGAATATATACACTTTGTGGGGTCTGCCACGCCTTCTTCTGTCTATTACATTTTCAGCTCCCGCAAACCTAATATACCCTTGTACATTTTATGTACAGAGTATAAACACATATGGATAAGTGTAGAACTGTTCAATTGAATACATACAATTATATGTATGTATATTTATGTACATGCATATGAGGATAGACAGCGACTGAAACAAAAAATAAGATGTACATATGTACGCATCAGCGTTGCCAGATGTCCCGATTTTGGCGGGATGTCCCAATTTTTAAATCAAAATTAAATGTCCCGCGCGGGGCAAGCTCAGTTCTGCTTTTCGGGAATAACTCGACCACATCGCAGCATGCTCAGGAATTTCGGACGGGTTGCAATTATAACTGAGGACTGTATGTACATATGTATGTCGTTTTTTAATTTTACAGTGCTTAATTCTAGAAACTACTAGCCCTCAACGTTAAAATCTATATAATTACGCATATGTATGTATTTTATGTATATAGATACTTATGTATGTAAGTATGTACATACATATATGTAAATAAAATATTTTGTATGCTTTTTTAACCCATTATTTGCATTTGGGCTTTATTGGTGCAAGAAAAAAAAGGTTATGTTTTTATGTACATATGTATGTGGGTATGTAATTATGTGCAATCAACACACAGTCCAAATGGTAAGCCTTTAAGAAGCTGTCAAAGTGTGGGTTAGCACCAAGAAGTGGTTTTAGAAAATTAGAAATCTGATTAACTTTAAACTTGTTTTATGTATTTACTCTGAGAAAGAGTACAAGATAAACTGCGTTGTATTTTTGTAACTTTTCATTAAAGAGTAAAAGAAATAATTATGATACATATATGTATATACATACATATTATATGTATGTGTGTATGCTCATTTAATTGTTGTGCAGTTGCCTAAGTTGGCCAAATAACTTTGCCAAATTGTACAGTTCTTGAATTAGTTGCCTTGATTTATCCCTATCATCTCTATAAATCAGCAAGTTTCATTTCATTGGCTTCAAACTGGGTTTGTGTTATCTATTAACAAATTCAAAAAAACACTGCATACTTGTTTTTTCACAATTTTTCCTGGGGCATGAAAAAGGGGGGCTTTCCCGTGGAAAAATTTATGCAAAGAGCTAGGAAGCTGCAATTTGAGCTCAAGTATCCAATTATTTTTGGTAAATTCGAGCTCCAATTGGGGAAAACGACCCCCAAAGTTTGTTTGAAAAATCCGCATTTTTCCACAAATCAAATGTGGTTATTATAATCTATAAAACAATGCAAAAAAAAACTGAATACTCGGTTTTTCGAAACTTGTGTTGGAGCTTGAATTGGGGTTTGACTTTTTCAAATGCTCTCCCTATGACTCAACGGAAACGGCCAGACTCCTGCCAAACCTTTCAAAGACTCTGAGCCGATTCTCCAGGTCACGGAAGAGGAGACCGTCGAGCTAATAGCTGCAATGTATACCAACAAGGCACCAGGCTATGATGGCATCAATGCAATCGCATTAAAAATTCTACTACCTACAAGCAAGTAGCTCATAACGTTGATATCCAACAAATGCTTGCAAATGGGGCACTTTCCATCATTATTATGATACCTAAGCCTGGTAAACCTGTAGCTAATCTTGCCTCCTATCGTCCGATCAGCTTACTGCCAGTACTCTCCAAAATACTAGAAAGAGTATTTTTGAATAGAGTATTGCCGGTAATGGACGAGGCTGGTCTGATCCCCGATCACCAGTTTGGATTGAGGCGCTGCCACGGGACCCCAGAGCAATACCATCGAGTGGTTCAATATATCTTGGACGCCTTTGAAAACAAGAAATATTGCCATGCTGGACATCAAGCAAGCCTTCGATCGGGTCTGGCACCCTGGACACCTCCTTAAGCTTAAAACCAACCTGCCCCAGCCAATTTCAAGTTCCTGAAGTCATTCCTGTAGGGCCGATTGTTCGCCGGACTTAAAGATGTTCGCGCTGGTGTCCCCCAAGGAAGCGCCCTCGGTCCGTTAATGTACAATGCTTACACTGCCGACCTCCCGGTGCTACTGAGCCCCCACATTATGGCAGAAACGGTTTTCATTATCGTAGACATTATCGCAGACTCCCAGGTAATGCAAGAGCAACTCCACCTGCTTAACTCGCAGCACAAGAAGTGGAATATCTCTGACAACGGCAAAAGGTCCACCGCCCCCACCTTCTCCATCCACCGCGTCAACTGCACTCCAGTTAGCCTTAACGACATTACAATCCCAGTAGAAGCCACTTCCAAATACCTGGGCATCACCTTCGACAGGAGACTAACGTGGAAACCGCACCGTCATTGGTTCCTGATAGAAAACACCCCCTGTATTTGATCGGAAGGCTCGACTACCCTGTTTTGACCGTACACCCAAAACGCGACTAAAACGAAATAGAGATTGCTTGTAACAAAAGAAAGGGAACGATTATTCAGTCTGATGTGGAGTACGTGTAAGACCAGCTGCAACAGTAAACTAAAAGCATAGAAAAATAGCTGAATAAAATAGTCTTTGACTAAATTTAAACTAAATAGAGCGTTTTATTTAAAACAATATACGTCCAAAAGTCAACTATCGATAACTATTACCAATGGGTATTGGTAACTGGCGCACTCGTTTTTTTTTTCCCCCGAACAAAACCTCCCGAAGATGAAGAAATTAAGGAATTATTAAGGAATTTCAGGACAATTTAAGTGTAGCAACTATAATCAACGGCCCAGTAACTGGTCAACTAGCTCATATAACGAGGAAACCAATGATCCCATTTGATCATTTATATCGCTTCAATTTCCGGTAGTCCCAAGGCCAAGCCTTTGAATTAGTAGGGATCGACATACGAAAGCAATGTTTTACTGTATGTTGACCTATCACGGGTCGGAACTCCAGAAAATCAATTTACTTGTACTTTGCTACCACAAAATAAAACATCAAATATCTTTTACAGAGAACCTCTGACCTGATAAAGAATAACAAAAGAAATCTAAAAACGAACAAAAAATCATTAAAATAATAATATCCAAAATAAATTTCCCTCCTTCTTAGTAACTCATAGCATAAAGAAGGGTGTATATGTGTTAAGTGTGTGTGTGTTATAAAATGTATAATTTGTAAGATTTGTTTAAAATACCCGTGCGAAGCAGGGGCAGAACGCTAATATGTTTATAAATTGCATTGCGGCAATATGCAACGGAATACTTAAAAAATATTTATGTGGTATGTGCGTGTATATGCCAAAAATGTGCTACTGCTGGACGTCACAATCCCAGGAAGTTGAATCCAACACGCTGGACACGATCAAGCTTCGTTGCAAACGAGGCCGATCGAACAGGTCACTGAAGTGTGTCGCGACTGTATGGTGAAGAAATGGCGCCGAGCCGCAATTCGTTCTACGCGAGCATTTGCTGGTTGTTCGAACATGTCACTGAAACAGTTGCGGTTCATTGACGCTCAGGTTGAGTATAAGCAATTTGCTAAACGCGAATATTTTATGCTCGAAAGTGTCACCTTTCAAGTAAACTCAACCAGCCGTCTCCTTATAGACCTCGAGCTGCCCTACGTGTTGACACGAACTTATTGTTTAAACTGGTCACTAACATATTGCAAAAGGTATATTCAGGTCGAACCGAATCGGAGGCGGACAAATACAATAGAATATAGAAATAAAACAAAGGAACACACACGCTGAATAAAATGTATGTAAATGTTGCGTTGACAACTAAAGGCAACTCCTGGCAATTGTGTTGCGCATAAGATTTTCATTCGTTATTTTCCCGATACCCCTCTTTCTCACGCTCTTTTCCTTCCATCTAATTCGAGTAATCTGTTTTGCGGCATCAATCCTGATGCCCTTCATTACACGCACCAAAATAGTAAAGCACAACCGATTAGTCTACACGCCTCACTCACATTAACGTCAGATACCTATCCCAGTTCCCCCAGTGCAGCAGCCGCCTACTCACACATAATTACAATGTGC